CTCAACATGACATCAAAAAATTATACAACTTTAAACCATGAAATCCAGAGACATCTTAGCCCAGTCCTCTTTTATGGCAATCTTGGCAGTAGCCTGCCCACCCCCTTTCCATACAACAGTCTAGCAAATTCATGTCTAGGCCAGAGGACAGCCAGAAATCCACTGGTTTAAAAAAAAAAAAAAAAAAAAAAAAAAAACAGCCAAATTAGCTTTTCAGAACTTATGCATCTTCCTACTGCCTGGAAGGACTGTCCTGGGTCAACACTTAGTTGCCCTCTGGATTGTTAGCAAATCATGGTACCTCAGGACATTGTAATAGGCAGCAGCACCCATCTTTTCTCAAAATTTGCAAATGAATAGGGGGCATCATTTTCCTTTCATAGGCAACAATACCCAAGACCTGGATGTTTTGTCCTGAAGGTGCCCTTGACATCAGTTCCTGGCTCCACAAGATATCAGTCATTTTTAGCAGTTCAAAACAGCACCCACTGAGTAAATTTTTCATCAGAGAATATCTCAACAGTGGACAGATGATTTTTTTCTTGAACCTTTCCAATTTCCTGAACTTTGTGAAGAGGGGCCTTGGCATCCTGGTGTTATTAGGCACAACAGTTCTGACAGTTTAGTGAGGGGTCTACTTTTAGCTCAACAGCTATCTTATATTCTTGTTGACCCTGCTTACTGCCCAGCTTTCTCTGGATGTATTTGCCCATGTTGATGGTTTTCATGACATTGTAGACTATGCGCAAAGACACACCAACTATGTTGGGTATGCTTTTAGAGTCAATTTGTGCATGAAGCAAGTCTGACACTATGTCATTTGTCAATTTGTGGAGACCTTTTCTAAAATATTCCTGAAAAATAAATGTGTATTAATAGCTTGCAGGATACACTGTCTTGCAGCTGGTATACTCGTTGGGCAGTTAGTGAGAAATCTTATATTAAATTTTATGGCAAGTTCTGCTTACACATTATTATATAGTACTTTGAGTGACTAAACATGATTAACAAGCTAGTCTCAAATCATTATCACTGAGTAATAAGTTATAACATCACTAGGTAACCCGTATTTGCAGCATTCTTTCAAAACTAGGCAAAGTGTGTGTGTATATATATATATATATATATATATATATATATATGTGTGTATATATATAAAATATATCTGTGTGTGTGTGTGTGTGTGTGTGTATATATATATATATATATATATATATATATATATATATATATATATATATATATATATATATATTACAAGTACTTTATGTGAAACTAACCTATTAGTCATGTGAAATTCCTATATCAAAATCAATATTCTCAAGCAAAAGAAACACAAAATGAAAAACAAAACAAAATTATTAAGAGTAATATATGCACTAAAGAAAATGTTGGGGAGGGGTATCTTGCCATTAAAAAAATCTGTGTTGATTTTTTAATTTACAAGGAATTTTCTATTTATACCAAAAAGAGAAAAAAGAAATCAAATATATAATTTAAAAACTATATTAGCTAACAACATTCAAAATAAAATAACCCAAAGTTTTAAATAGCATGTAAACTGATTATATAAAATATGCATGTAAACTTCACTAGCAACCAGAATGCATGTTGCTACAGATTTGATAGAAGCCATAAAGCAAAAGTGATGCACTTTTAAAAGCAAATGAAGATATAAACAAAGCAAAAAGACCACTGCGGTTGATAAAACATTTTTATCTGGATTGTGATTATCTGTTTTATTTACTTCTAATCTTTTGAGCAATACAATGTATCTATTCTTATGTTATTGATATAATTGTGAGAATTACAATTCTAGCTTTAAAATAATTAAGTGGAAAAGCTTTGAACAAATAAATGAAAAAGTCCAAATGATAGAATAGAAGAAACAAAAATTTATGAGTTGTAAATCATTTAAATTTCATTTGTTATTTTTCTAGTAGCAGAAATACAAAATCATAATACTAAGATTTATATGTAATTGTAAACATTATTGAAAAATTAGATTTTGTACACTTCATAGAAAATCTTTTTTATTTGATAGGATTCTTGTACATACATTTTCATGTACAATTGTTATCTCAGATTAGAAAGTTTCCTCAACTCCCCTGCCTGTTTATATAATTACAAAGTAAATTGAAAACTCTTCTGTACTTGTAATATGCTATTTTTCATGCTAATGTGACTGTTCTGGCCTGGACTACATCTGTAATTAAATTACAGATGTAGTCCAATAAATTTTAACTCATAAAACCTAACATTAGAGTATATTCATTTAAAGCAATATAATTTTAAAATTTTCAGTTTTGTTTCCTCTATTCCAAATGCAATCTCCTGCACAACTTTTATAAAAACTAATTCAACCATTTTGAAATGGTAAGAGAAGCATCCATAAAAATCAAACTGCATATTCAATAGACACTAATATAATAAAGCTTCACAAAATTTTTATCAATAAATTAAACTTTTAAATCCTCAAATTTATCGGCCAAAAATCCACAATTAAAACTTTTTAAACTTCAACATAGGTGATTTTATTTAATTAATAGAAAGAGCCTTACTTTTTGCAAACATCAGTCTGTGATTCTTCACAAACAATACAGCAAGTGATGAACATGACACACTAGTTGTATACAGGTTTATCTATATGCCTTAATCTAAACAACTATCAATGTTATTTACTGCTCTCTTACTTTATCCTCTTCTGCTAAACTGTTTATTTATATCATGTCTACAATCTTTACTTGAAATACAGTTGTAAAAGACACTTATCAGCAAGATGGCTAGCACTTCCACAACACCAGCATTCATAGGTCTTTGACAATCTAGGAATAGGACTCTCACATTCATACCCTGGCTTCTCTTGTGAACTTTGAATAGCCTTGGAAAATCTTTTTTTTTTTTTAAACTCAAAGGCCAAATATTTTGTGACTCCAAATGCCACAAATATTTTGAGGACTTTCTCTATAATCTGTGTTCTCTCACTGAACTATTATTGATTAAATTAACTACTAAAATTGCACATCTTGGACATGTTCTAGGTACTGTGACATGCTGATTTATTGTTCATCCTATTCTGAGAATAGAACAAAAAATGCTCATAAATTTTATTGGGAATAGAGTTAATAGTCTGTCAGATGTTTTCTACCTCAGTCTTATACAATATACGTAACAGAACTGTGTATGTGAAAATATGACACTAACAAAAAAAAAAAAAATTTAAACAGTCTACAAAATTCCAATCTTCTTCATTATTCCACTCAGTTATAGTCCCAAATAATGACATTTTGCTAGTAACTCCAAATTCACAAATTTCAGCATTCATCTTTTCCCTCTTCTCACTGCAATTTCATGAAAAATTACCATTTTGGTAAAAAGTGTTCTGCCTTATGAAAACAGATTATTTATATTCTCACAATAGGTTATATCCATCCACAAAACTGAGGACAGATAACAAGTCTATCTATAACTAATAGATCAAATAAACTTACTATAAACTGCAGTTTACATGTCAAAATTTTAACTTAAATTTTTTTTTTTTAAATCCCAAACTAAGAATTTCATTTTGTTCTGGGTGAAATTTAACTACAGAATAAAAAATTTAAAAAATGAGTAGGAAAGCTTGCCTAACATTCTCTGTGCCTTGACCAAACAATCATAAATATTGTCTACTGAAACTCATATTTGATGAAATAATTCATTTATTAGAAAATTTACAAAACAAAATAAAAAAAAATGCTGTGCAAATAAATGCCTTTATTTATATCATATTAAATTGTTAGATGATATATCTCCAAACCAAATAAAACTTTCATAAACAGTTTATACTCTTGTATATGGGTATCATATTCAGAATTTTATGTTAAAATAATAGACTGAATTTGCATATCTACTGGCTAATGTTTGGTATTATTACCACAGTAATAACAGAGACAATTTTAAAGCAACTATAGGCTGAAAACAAAATGTTTACTTTTCTAGCTGCTCAGTTTGTACCCCCAATTTAAAACACTTCAAACAACATGAATAAACAAAAGAATTTTGTTGGAAAGCAACAAAGTTATTAATAAATTAAAGCATGCCCACTTCAAGAAAAGTTAAAATTATTTTGTCCAGAAATCATGCAGTATAATGATTAATGTTCATGCCAAATTATTTTTCATGAAATATAAGGAAATAAAATTAATTTTCTTAACTCATCAGATTTAAATTATATACAAAAAAGTGAACACATATGCATGCATATTAGAGTAGATAACTTCAAATAAAACATAAGAATTAAACAAAATATAATTAGTGCATTGGGAAAGTAATCAAGATCATTTGAAAGAAATTGTAAAACAGAAATTTGATTTATGTTAAGACAGAGTATCACAAGATTAGTATAAAAATGACTGCAAGACATCAACAGTTTCATTTTTATAAAAACCTGTTATTCAGAATGTGTAATAGAGAAAAGATTAAGATAGAGAAGTAGTGTAGAAATGATTATTAAAAAAAAAGTAGGATCGTGACTTATAGTCTAGTCTAATAATTTTGCAGAAGTTATGTATTTTTTCTTAATTCAGGTAAAAATCAAGTTTTTCAACAGAAAACAAATATCAAATAATCAGTCAAAAATATAAAATAAAAATGAACTTCAATGTTTTATAAGTTAAATAATGCTTTTACAGCAGACAGACAATAAGCTACATAAACAATAGGCAATTACATCTTACATGCAGATGGTTAGAAATAATAACAGAAAGCAGTACAGATAAGCATTAAGGTTTAAAACTATATTTTTCAGTTAGCTTGACTTTTATAAATGCTTATTTGATGCTAATTTTCTATTATATAAAAAGAACAAATAAAATTATTAGAAATTTAAAAATAGCTTTTTCTTAGTGTTAATTTTTATGAAATATAAGAATATACACATTGTGTGTCTGTATATGCTAACATGTGTGAGATTGTGTAGTTACAATTTGTAATTTGTTTGTCATAATCTAAGTCAGTACCTCGAGGAGCAGGTGTGTTGACATAGGCAGTTGTACTATTGGATGGAGACTCTGCCTCGTCACTGGCGCTGTCCTCCGATGAACCTTGTGATCCAGAGTAGTGCCGAGCCGGTGTAGAGGTTCGTGCACATGAACTAGAATTAGGAGCACCATGTGCAGCAGAGTGCAAACCATCTTTATAACACGTGTCCTTCTCATGGCCCAGTGATGACGATGATGACAAATCACTGGACACTTTTTCGGAGAATGTCCGATAGGCAGATTTCTCACTGCCCTCATCACTCGGTACAGACGCATATTTTTTGCCCTTGTTGCGACGTACATAACGCATATCTTCATTATCTTCATACTCATCATCGGTCTCATAACCTAGAAATAAATAAATGAATCATGCACATTTGTGATAAGCATGCAGCATTCACCAAAACAAAGTTTTTTTTTTTTAAAAATGTTCAAATAAATGGATAAATAAAAAAATAAATCACAAACACAAGTAAACAACAGCAATGCAACATTGGGACATGAACAGAAAAAAAAAAAAAAAAGTCAAAATAATCATGTAAATAAAAAATACAACATAATAAACATACCAAAAAGATAAACAGAGCCATTAATTTTTGTTGAAGGTATAACAACTAAGCAGTTATATTTAATTATAAACAATCTAATATCAACTTTAAAAAGAGGTGTTAAGCCTTTCTTGAGAACATAAATAAACTAATGACGAATGTGGTTTGCATGTTAGATGCTTTTAACAAATCATGGCTTACTTTAAGTTGGTGTGCTCTTCAGTTAATTTCTATATCATATGCATTTACATAATGGAATTATTTAAAAACATGGCTTCTAAATTTTCTCATTTCTACCAAGTTTGAAATTTCAAACATGTATTTTACTGCCCTGTATATTTTACTCAGAATAATATAAAGGTAAAAAAATTGTAAAATAACACAATTGTAATAAAATATCCTTACTAGACAATATTTTAAACTAATAATCCATAGAAAAATCAATATTCATTTCTCATTATGAATGAAAATCAAATTTTTTTTTTAATGTTTCATCTATACATATTTATAAAAAAAAAAGAAACAAACAAAAAAAAACTATGATTCCAAGTGGATGAAGCCAACATGATTACCCCAGAACTTCCCAATAGATTTGAATCTTCCTTATTAAGAAAACTTCTTCATATTTATTTGAAAATACCACATGAAGAAACTGATACAATAATATTTAAGGAAAAAGTTGCCTATAAAGGAATCAAATTACAGTCCTAAGTATATTTGTCTGATTTTTTTTTGTGATTAGGAGATATTTAAAATTAATTACTAATAATTAAAAGAAAGTGATTACAAAGTGGTGAAATTTACCAAAAATTTAATTTATCTAATATGTAAGCTATCATAAAATTACTGAAGTGTGCTTATTTAGCAGATGTGCATTTCTTCATAACTTATTTCAAGTTTTGTGCAGAAAAAATTGATCTGAAACTAAATAAACAAATGTGGTTTTCAGAAAATGAATCTACACAAAATTAAGGAATTATATACAATTTTACAATAAGCAAATTTTCCTGACTTCCACACACATTCTGAATAATGTTTGTGCAATGAGTGAAAATAAGATTGAGAAATCATTTAAAAAAACTGAAGAAATCAGCTTATAATTGAGCTAAAATAATCATTATAAATATATATAGAGGATTAAAAGACATCAGTTTTTCTTTCATTTATTCTTTTTCTTAATTACAAAGAATTATTGAATTTTAATGTAAACTTGCAACATTAATATATTTAAGGAATTTAAAAAGTATTTTAATTCTATGTGCATGCAACTATAAGCAGATTGCATAAAAATGAATTTGAATTGGATTGTGTGTGTGTGTGTGTGTGTGTGTGTGTGTGTGTGTGTGTGTGTGTGTGTGCGCGCATGCACACAAGAGACTAATTTTGCGGGTCAAGTCTAAATATGATAATAAATATAAAATATTGAAAATGGGTTTAATATTCAAGGTTGGATTTGAACGTTAACAGAATATGTATTTCCTTAATGAAAAAAAAAATCATTTCACTAAATAAATATCATTGTGAAGAGGATTCTTCCAGAATAAATTGTTAAACTGGACATGACTGAATGAATATCAATTCAAATCTAAAATAAAACAAAAATGTTACTGAATGAATCACATCCATAAATTATATCTACATACAAAAACATTTTGAATAGTTACAAAAATTTTTTACCACAGAAAGAAAATTTTAAAATGTGATACTTATTCTTTTGTAAGAAAATTATAATCAAAGTTTTAACAGTCAGAGTCATGCTTCAAAAATATATACTGTCAAGATTTTTTAGCAATTGTATTTCCAAATACTCTTTCTTTAACTTGAAAAGAGAAAAACGAGTCAAGAAAATTTTAAAATGTGGCACCATAATCTTTCACTTCTAGTAGTAAGTAATATTAATAATATATGAATATTTTTAAAATATATGAATAAATTTAATGCAACAAATTATTTTATGTTTAGGAAAAAAAGATTTTCCAATAAAATAAATGTAGTCAATCAATGTGCAAATTTCTTAAACTGTGCTCCTTTACTTTAAATAATAAAGGTCTCAAATTCAGTAAGTAATCAAAACAAATTCATGTTTTAAGCAAATCTGCAATAATTCGTACTTTTTAAAAATCAACATAATCTTTGCAAGTGAAAAAGCCAGCTGGAGAGAATATTTCGTAAACTTAACCCAGAAAGATTTCCCAAAGCAAAAAGCATACAGTAATCCAACAAAATAATGGCAAAATGCAGCAAAAAAAGTAATCAATAGCTTAAAAAAAAAAAAAGAAAAGAAAAAAAGGCATGCAAATAAAACAAAAACAAATCAATACAGGTTTTCAGGAGGACACACCACTACAATAGATATAATACAAACCAAAATACTTTTAATAAGCAAAATTAAATCAAATTAATGTTGGAAAAATCATATCTCAATCAATATTGAAATAGTGCTATTTTAATGGGATTTTTCACTGTAATTGTGTGTTGAACATTTTTTATTTTCAACCAAATATAAATAATAAAAGTTTGTTTTTTATATATATATATATATATATATATATAGCATCGGGTGAAAGGTACCTCAAGTTTCTATTTTTAATTGAGATGATACCTTTGATTAATAAAATACACCCTATTTTAAGAATAATACTTCAGTGGTGTAGCACTAAAAATCTTTTTATTATATATTAAAAAATAAAACAATCCAGAAAGACATGTGAATCACTACCACACAAAAAATTCATTTTTATAATATGTGGAAATATCTACTCTTTGCTTGAAGAAGGTTGCAAAACCAGGAATATATGTAGCAGAATTATGGAAAATAGAGTATAATATATATTTTTAAAATATAAAAATCCACATTTCAACCAAGTTTATCTTCTTTTTTCTCTCATTGGAACAACTATAACTTCCATATATATATATATATATATATATATATATATATATATATATATATATATACACACACACACACAAAGTGTGTACAGATACTACACTGATTCTAAGCAAAAAAAAATGTTGAGCTATTTGTAAAAAATTCTATCATTTTTGATAGGTACTCTGCTAATTTCATAAGAAAAATGCAAATCTACTTGATGTGTAATCAGATAATCTACATTTAAATAATTACTAAAGAAAAGAAAAAGTAATGATTACAGAATCTTAAAATGCTAAGTTATAATTATTGGGAAAAAAAAATATTTCATGACATTTATTTTGGGGTTCATTTTTTTTTTTTTTTTTTAATATTATATACACATATATACTTTTTGGGGAGTCAAATCCCTAAAAATTCAAATAATCACTTAAATTAGAATAAATGATTTCTTTATTTACCAATTATCTATTGACAGGTGTGATCAGTTGGTAATGATAGCAAGATGACAAAAGCATTAGGCATGCAGCATGCATATGAAATATAGGTAGACTATCACAGGCAGGAAGTTAAAATAATTAAATGCAAAATATGAGGGGAAGAAAGAAAATACAGACAAACATGAACAAATCTTGGTTAAGAAGTCACTAGCAGGACAACTTAGTTGTTTAGTTGAAAACCGTGATCATTTTGTTCTCCTCTTTACAAATAATCCACATCATTCAGACAGGTTGTATATTATATATACATTTTACATTTACCCAAACAGAATAAATTCTTTTTCATATAAAATATCTGAAAATAGTTTGCATAAAAGTTGTGAAGCAAATTCATAAGCAGTGAACATCCATTTTTTATTATTCAGACATTTTCCTTTTTTGTCTATGGGGCAAAATTATTTTTAAAAAATCTAATATTTATATAATTTTAATTAAAAGTTATGAAATTTAGCAAATAAATTGATATTCTACCAATGACTAACTTTTATAAGTTCTTATATTTTCATTCTATTAAGTTTTAATTTATTTCTGTCAGAAAAGTTTCCTCATTTAACAAATTTAACACAATGAAAAACACTAATTTTATGCATTAAAATCAAAAGGACAAAATAACTGTTTAAACTACTTTTATGAACATAAACCTGATGGGTACTGAAAAGTTCTTGGTTTGGTTTGGCTTGGCCCACCTCCTCACATATTACCAAATGACCAAATATCAGATTTAGGGGAAATGCCTGCTTGGTTGGGTAAAGAACTCTTCAGCACGCTCTCATATATTCAATTAAATCTTTTCCCATCTTTTACAAAAACTGTGAGATTACTTTTGTAATGCTCTTAGTAGGTTTCTAAGTGCATCTCTATTTACACATAAAAGTTGATTACTTTTCCAACATCATCAGGAAATAATATACAGATTTATACACTTGGATCTTATAACAGAATTTATTAAAAACTATGAAAGTTGAATGTAGCTAATGAAAATTATCCTTATAATCAGTTTCAACCAAAATTTTTATAAAGAAAAAAAAAAGCAAAGCATTGTAATGAACTGCTACTTCTTTGGTTTTATGTTTTGATCTTGTTACCTTATTCTTAGACTGCAAGATAGAAAGAAAAATAAATTTGACTTTATTTTATCAAGTAAAACATACTAAAAGAGTACTATATGAAATAAGAAAACAAACAATTGTCTATCCCAGATATTCAATTTTAAAACAGCTCAAAAACCCAATGCTTTTATCAATAATAGCATTGCCGAATTATTACCAGAGGAAAAAAAATTTAACATTTTATGTAACTATTTTTTATTTTAATCAAACTATGATGTAAAATAAAATATTTCCAGATTAAAATATTAACAATCACAATAATGGTTATTGATGTGAATAGAAAGTCAATGGGGAATTTTTTTTAACAATTACACAGAAA